GTAAGATGTATATGGTCTCGTCACAACTGACAGAACGGTTACAGCAATTACATGTGTGACAACTGACAATTTACTCCAACGAGGAAGTGGTCTTATTTACCCCACTTTCCAAATCACCGATATGGTGGTATTTCTTTATTACTTTGTCACAACAATAGCGTCATACAGTAAAAGTGTCACCAACAGGAGCTACTTGAATTTTGTCACATGCGTCAGTACTAACAATTGAGTTGCCTCAGGGTTTTCAAGAATTTGGAACAAGGCTTCAAACTACATAAGCACCGCTGTGTCGCAAATGCATTATTGAATCTCCCCCACTATGCTTACCTATTAAAATGTCTGCTGCTTGTGTGGTGGTGTTTTTACTGGTTTCGGTCAATTCACTGTAGGTAAAGCTGCAGTTCTGTGCTAGAAAGTAAAAAAACAAACAAAACAAAAAGATCTCCATCTACAGCAACTCATATTTCAGGAATTTAGGATGGAAAAAAAAATGATTAAAGCTTCTTACTGTGCACCACTATGTAGGATATAGAAAGATGTTCTGTGATAGACTATTTATATGTAAACAGAACCAGACAGGAAGATGCAACTGTTCTAGGAAATAAACAGGGAGTCAGGTGGAGTGATCCAATTTCATACTAGGGCTCTATGGCGTTGCCAAATTACAATCTGGACAATCATTGATTCCCATTTTCTTAATATGCGTTATAAACAGAGGAGTCTGTTCTAAGAATAACGCAATCCAGGAATCCGGGCATGCACATTATGCAAACAGCCCTCCCCATATACCACAACACATTGCACACCTTATGCAGGGAAAAGAGGAATTGACAGAGCTCTATTTTGAGCTGAAGTTGCTTTTGCCATGCCAATTGATGTTCATTGATTTTAGCAAGATCTGTTATATTTTGGTGAATCAAACATTTGCCGTTTGCCTATAGTTGTGCAGTTGTGCACTTGTTTTTGCTGGAAATGTTTGAAAGGAAACTTTATGGATGGGTAAAGGTTTCCACTGAATGACTCCATCTTCCAAAAGTACATCTCTTGCTGCATCCCCCACAATGTGGTGCCTGCCCCAGAACGTCCACTGGTCCTGGGATGAGGGCAACACTGGACTGACACCTCATTAGGGAAGGTAACAGGCCTCCTGACTGATTCTCTTCCCATTATCAAACACTAAAATGAAAAATTGTAACCGGCTTTATACGAATAGATGTCAAATTTCGAACACTGTAGGCTGGTGGCTAAATTGTTACTGTAGCTTCCCACCCCTGTTTTACTTGTACTGCTTTACTCAACAGACACAAAATACGTACAATACTCTTAACATGCAAATCTAAAAAGAAAAGGATAAACACAGAGCGCCTATTAAACATTAGTAGCTAGACTTTGAAAATCAATGGTATGCAATCACCAAAGATGCAGTCATTTTGGAGTACCAAACCCATAGAGGAATATTGGCCATAACTTTGGAAAGCAGGTGCTATAAACCCGGATTCACGCTATAATCACCATAAAATGTAGTGTGTTTAACATGCTTGTTGCTGCTTTTGTGTGCAATGAGCAGCAAAATGCCTGTTAAAAAAACACTTGATAAGCACAGAATATTTATAATTTTACACTGCCATAGCCAGCCTAAAAAGGATCCGTCAGAAGGCTCTGAATGAACCAACCAGTCCCCCCGTCTCATGAGCCACATACTGGTTCCACAGCAGTGAAACTATACCTTTCATTGCACCAAAGCTGGCAGGGACTGCTTCAGTTGGAGCGTTTTCACAGTGTTTTAGCTTGATGACAGATAATTGCTGTAGTATCAAGGCAGATGTTTACTTTGGTCCCAGGAGTCCCAACTGGCTGCAGGATGGTTAAATTACCTTTTGAATTCACATTGATCATCCCATTACCACACATAGGTTGCATGTAACCTCAGCAGTTACTATCATTCTGAGAACAAGTTAGTCACTTTGTCAAACCAACCCACAGGTTCCATATATAAACTTTACATAACCTCCATACACACTCATATTCACATTCATAGTTTTTATACTTTTGTACATGAAAGTGGCAATCTACCCAAAACTAGCATTTTAGTTAAAGTGACACTAAACTCAGGAGTGAAATCTTAAAAATGCATTCAAGTACCTGAACTATTAACAAAAATGTATCTTGTTTGTGTATTACTCGGCTGTAGATCCTCCAATCATCTCTGAATTGGTGCTCACACTGTCCTTCCTTCTGGAGGGGGGCTACTTTTGTTCCCCATGGTCCCTGTGTGTGTTGTAAAGTAGTCACCACTCCGAGCTTGTTCATTTTATGGACTAAAACAGTTTACAAATTTGTATTGAAACTATAGTCTATTACAGGAGTGAACTATAGTCTATTACAGGAGTGAACTTGGATCGTTGACTACTTAACACACACAGAGACCATGGGGAACACAAGTAGCACCCCTCCAGAAGGAAGGACAATGCCAGTACCATTTCAGAGATGATTGGAGGATCTCCAGCCGAGTGATACACAAATAAAATACATTTATGTTAATAGTTAAAAGGTACTTGAATGCATTTTTAAGATTTAACTCCTGAATTTAGTGTCACTTTAAAGATTGATTTTGGTGCATTGAATCATCTGCTAGATTTTTGTATCTCCAGGAGAGACCAGCAACTGAACCCCCACAAAATTCCCAATTTCCCCCTTCCAAAAAGTGGCGACACACGTCTTGCCACTGTGGTCATAGAGAGTTAAAAAAAAAATGGTGATGGATGATTCAGACCACCATAATCTACCAAAACGTAATTATATCTGGGCATATTTTTACAAATTGTAAAGTATATCAGCCACCAAAACTGCATACATACTTCACATTGCAGGGAAGCGCCTCTGGGTGAAGCCACCGCAAACATTTTAGGCCCCATTCACACTGAGCGACATGAAAATCGTGCGATTTTGAGCGATATCGCGCAACTTGTTCCTATTGGGCTGTATGCAATCAGTAGCAATATCGCTCGAAATCGTTTGAAAAAAGGGTCATGTAGGAGCGACAAGCTACCAGCGACGATCTACAAGCGATATTGAGCGACGAGATGTGAACAGCTCCATTGAAATGGATTGGAGAAGCTACATAGAGCGATATCGCGTGGAAATTTTATCGCTGCAAAAATCGCTCGATAAATCGCTCAGTGTGAATGGGGCCTTATAGCAGGGTTAGACAAATCCCAGGTGCCAGGAAAAATCTAAAATTCACGACTTCTCAAATTGTACATTGACTCGTCCACCACTGTGCATACAAATGCACCCGAAGAACTGGAACCCCACTTAACTTGAACAACAACACATTAAATCTCTGTAAAAGTCGAACTGTAATAAAACTTTAAAAAAAAAAACATGCATGCACATGTTTAAAGGCCTTTAGTATCCAGACAATAGCTTGCTGGTTAAATAATGCTTTTTGGTGTTAGGAATATAAAAAAAAGGTAATAAAAATAGCCCATAAAACCAAAATGCTACAATAAAACAACCCAGAGATGGGTACAAGTCTACACAGGATTAGTTATGTCACAGCTTTTTTTTGTAACAGTTGTCCACAGGATAAAAACAAATTGAATATACAAAAGTAAAAAAACAACCCAATATCTTCTGAAAGATTCGAGGACCTCTCATATTGATGTTTCTTGCGTAGATAACTGTTGGGGTCTTTTTAATTTACCAGATCCCTATTGGAAACAAAAGAAAGTGGAGAGTTATTATTAAAAACAATAAATTGAATGTAAACTCAGGATTACTGCTCGTTCATACTAGAATTTGCTATGGGAAGCACTTCAATAGCTTTTAGTCTTTTTATTTTTTATGAACACATCAAAAAGACTAATTTTATGTTAATAATCTTATAAAATGTTACGAGCGCTGAGATATATAGATAGAGAGTCCGCATTTTGCGCTCCATAAGGCGCACCGGTTCCGTGACAGCTGAGACAGGTGGCACTGCATGTCCCGGGCGTCGGGCGATAGGGATTCGTTCCATAAGACGCACACACATTTTTGCCACCCTTTTGGGGGGAGGGGGACGACGACTGTCTTCTGGAGCGAAAAATACGGTGTGTGTATATGCAATTGTAATAATTTGTTTCGGAGCATATCTCGGTGTATGACATGGCAAGGTTTGCTTCCATGACATGCTTCCTGCTAATCCACTTCTCGCTGATGTCAGTCTGAATGGTAACAGACTTTACGCAATATCTAATGACGTGAAACACATACTACAGGCAGTCCCCGAGTTACATACATCCGACTCCTACTTACAAACGGAGGCTATTACTGTACAGCAGGGGTAGCTGTAATGCTGCCGCGCTAGTGCAGACGAGGAGTGCATGCCTTTTTGGATCTGGTTCATAGTACAGTTCGTACATTACAGGAAGTTGGCTCTTGTTAGACGTGCAGACAAGAGCTGCCCGCCTCTTCTTCCGGGGTCACTGTGACGTTTTTACTGCTGTCTGTATCCTCATTAGAAAGATTTAATCTCGCTTCCTGTCCTTGAGACAACAGGAAGTGAAAGGAAATCTACCCCTAGGAAGGGAAATTCACTCCTGTAAGAGTTATCATGGGAAAAAGGTGTCTCTGAAGCTTCATCACTAATCCTTGTTTCCACAATAACCCAAAATTTTCAAAATCCAATTGCCACAGGGACAGAAAGTGAGGTGAAATCTTCTGAACACACAGCAAAACAAACTTTACAGGGGGTTAACACTTCACTATGCTATCCAAAACAAAAAGATTTTTTTTTTTGGCAGGAGTTGCACTTAAAAAAAAAAAAAAAAAAAACAGAAACCCAGAGCTATTTTATTTAGTATCGCGGACATGGTGCCCTTCTATTCAATCAAGCGAGTTAAAATTTTAAGGATATCCATATACAAGAGGTTTTCTGGGGTTGCGCTTGAATCAGCCATGGAGCACAGGTAAACATGTTTCTAGCAAAGAAGGGAATGACTTCGTAATAGACCAACCTCTTTCCTGATTTTTCTTTCCTGGGAGTCATCAGAAAGTCTCAGTTTTGCCCGGGTGAAGTACACTGCAGGAGACTCTTGGGATACCTGTAGTTAGCAAATAACTGTTACAGAGCTACATATTGTCAATAGAATTCATTAAGACAAAAAAAAAAAAAAACCAGTGGTGAAAGATATTAAAACTGGAGCAGACAGAATCTGGAGCAGTTTCACATGGCAACCAATCAGCATCTCTCTTTATTTTGTTCAGTTAAGCTTTAAAAATGAAAGAGAAGCCGATTGGTTGCCAAGCAATACTGCTCCAGATTCTGTCTGCTCCAGTTTTGATAAATTCCCCTCGATGTCTGCAAACAAAGCAACAATGTCACTAAGATTATTCTTTTAGGGCCCATTCACACTGGTGTGATGCATTAATTGCACGGTTCCATGCAATTCACACACCATGCTGCGCAACACACCTACCATGCATAAACAGTGTGGGAGGTGCATTGTGTTGCCCTTCATTTGAATGACACCCCAAATGCACCTCCCATCCACAATGCAAACGATCACGTAGCAACTTGTGGTACCGCAATACCGTGCATTGTGCCAAAAAAGAAAACACCTATCGCATTGCACCAGTGTGAATGGGCCCTTTAATCTGAATAAGCAAGCACTAGGTAAGTGCCCTGGGAGCTCCAGAACCTAGGTATGCATAGTATGCAGGTAGCCCTATCCATATAGACACGTGCATTGCATTGTGCCTACTAACTTATGCAGATAAATGCACATTAAGGAATAGAGGGTATGACAGAGCTCTGAAGTTGGTTATTTGCATATGTGCATGGAGTTTTGGGTTTCAGGTGCGCTAATTTAAGGATCTTAGACAAAAAAGTTATTTGCATAATTTGACTGGCAAACCAGTCAAATTATGTGGAAGCACACCGTCAGTACTCTTGTGAAAACAAAATTAGATTTTTCAATACACTTTTGTTGAAGAAACCAGGGCAAATATTCTTGGTCCAATAGTAACTGCAGCCAATCAGCTTGTTTCATGATTTTTAATAATCTCTTTTAAAATGCTTCAGGGTAGAAAATATTATGCTACACATATCATTCAGTACAGCAATTGTTTTGATGAAAGAAGCTCTAAAGAGACTGAACCTTCCATTTACTGCAGTCAATAAATAATATTCTTCTGGAGAGGCGCTAAGAGGTCCAGCTGAAAAACTCAAATCACATTTGACCAAATATATATATAATTTCTCAAATGCCAAAAAAAACATAGTAAAAAATAAGTTATTTTTCTGTCCCCTAGTGTAGAGCTAAATGTCATGCATCCAATCCCCCTCTCCCCCCCCCCTCCTTTATTGGTAAACAATTGGTCGATTATTGATATGATCATTTAAATTACCTTTCTTTCAAAAAGAACACTAAGGACGAAAAAGAAAATATTTGGTCAAATGTGATTTGATTTTTTCAGCAGGACCTCTTAGCGCCT